ATTTTTTCAAAAGCGAAATCTTTTTTTTCACGATATTATTCCTATGATTAATGCTACAATTGAAAGCATTCAAAAAAACTATGTTGCGAATACAAATTTGGGCTATCACCTTCAAGTTTTTATATGAACATGCGAATTTAAATATCTTTTTTTTAAAAAATGGGAATTTATTCTTTAAAACAATAGGTTTTTAGTGGATTTATTTATGATGTATTGGTCGATATATTTGAATTAGAAATATTGACGTCTGACAGGAAACACTGGCAAATACTTTTTGAGGTATTAGAAATTGTATTATCCATCAATTAAATTTCTTGCCAGCATTACAATAACAAGATAATCAAAATTTATTGATAGGTTGCACAAAATTTACGACGCGCGTTAATAATTGCGATTCGAGTTAGTTCACGAGAGCCAACCGAAACCAAATTTCAAGAAATTGCAACAAACCTGGAAACCGCAGTTGGGACATTGGGTAGAAGGCTAGGTGTTAATCTAGCGGGATGGCAAAGTATTATTAGGAAAAAGTCTTTAATAAGGGGGTTAATTATTACCGGGCATTAACCTGCTAATAGACGATGAACGAACTTTTAAAGAATAGTAGTTTGTGATATTAAAGAGAAATATTATTACTGTTATGTATTATATGTATTTATTTAAGACATTGTCCATCACATGAGTGTCGCTAACCCAACAATTTAAATATAAGTCATTTAAATTTTTGGGTTTTCTTTTAGCGACACTCATATATTAAAGTATAAGCATGTAAATGTAATTTATCCTTAAAATTCATAGGTGTTAATTCAAAGTATAAAGTGTTATTTTTTTCTGTTACGTAAAAATAACGCCCAGGGTGTTACTCTGAGGCACACAATTTAAAGGGGGTTTTATCTCGGAATCCCGACACTCAAAATCCTGGCACACAAAGGGTGCTCTCAAGCCAGTGCACAAAATCGTGACATGACGTGTCCTGATTTTTTTCCGACGATCTTTTTATTAAACGGAATTCGCCGGA